AGGTGGATCACCTGTCAGGTGTTCAATTCCAGCCTGGCCAACAGAGTGAAACCTCATCTCTACTAAAAATACAAACATTAGCCAGGCATGGTGGCAGACATTTGTAATCCCAGCTACTCAGGAGGCTGAGGTAGGAAAATCACTTGAACTGGGAGGTGGAGGTTACAGTAAGCTGAGATCATGCCACTGCACTCCAGCCTGGGCAACAGAGTGAGACTCTGTCTCAAAACAAAAGAAAACAAAACAGAAAAAAACAAAGTGAGGTCTAGCTGGCAGCACCAGGGCCATCAGCCCATTGTAGGATTGGGCACAGCTACTACTGGAAAAAACTGCACACTGGGATTGCCTCTTGTCCTGTATATGGCATCTGCATTGATTCTAAATTCTCTCCACATAAGCAATGGTGTGCTGGTAAGCTTGCTCTCTGAAAAGAAAGAAGGAAAGAAAAAAAGGCCCTGGTCGGTAATATTAGCCGGTAATATTTCAGTGTAAATATTTTGACTCACGACCAGCTTCCAGTTGCCAAGGTTGACTTGCTCAAAAGATTCCTGAATATTTAACAACCAGCTCCCTGGGGCTGGTACCCACAGCTCCAGCATACCACTGGCTACGAAACAGATCGCTACTCACCACTTCCAGGCTTTGGCTTTGCCACTGCTAGATTTGTGCTCTGTAGCAAGCTCTTAATTTCCTCAAATTGCAGTTCTCTTTTGAAATATGGGAGCTGAGATGATGCAGTAATGCCACTTGGATTCTCTGTTGAACCTATACCACCTTTCTCTGAGAATCACATCCTTCCTGGTGCTCCCTAGTGGTGCCATATTCTGCCTGATTGTTATTGTTTAACTTCATATTGGAGTCTGGCAGATATCCCAGCTGCTTCCAATAAATGCTCTTCTGCATTCAGGGTCTGAGTGGGATTTTGTAAGTTGCAACCACTAGAGCTTGAAATAAGGCCGAAATGATTCCCAAGGCCATTGTGAGCTCTGATATTACACCAGTGGTTCTCAGAGTGTGGTCTGCTAACCAGCAGCATCAACTTCACTTGGGGACATGTTGAAAATGTCAGTTCTCAGGGAACCACCGCAGACCCATTAAATCAGAAACTCTAGGGATGGGACCCAGCAATTTGTGTTTTCACAAGCCATCCAGGTGATTTCCATGTGTACTCAAGTTTGAGAACTGCTGCATCACCATTCTAAGGATGGTATGACTTATTTGAGAAAGGCATTTTCAGGCTGCTCCCATTTTCTTTTCTGATTAATGAAGGGCAAAAGTTAGTGTTTTATTGGTTAAAAAAAATTATAAACAAAATATATATTACTGTTACAACTCGAAAGACATCAATTTCCTTTTCTCCTTTTTTTCTATTTTAGTTGCAATGGACTGAGACTGACATTTCAATGACTAGCCTAAAAGAATATAAGGAGAAAAAAGTGTAGAGAATGAAACACTGCCAATAAATATGCAGAAGTAAAAAAATATGCACCAGATAATTTTAAGATAGTGAAGGCCAGAAATACAGAACAGGAAACCCACATGCTGTCTGCATTGGAAAAGATTTCACAAAATGTGCCATTAACATGCTGAAGTGACTAAGCATTTCTGGCATTAGGAAACCTTTCAAGAGTCCACTAATGATTGATTTACATAAGTACAGTAAAAAGTGAAACAGGAAACTTTGACTTTGTCCTGACTTATATCAGAAGCATAGTTTTCATTGTTAGATGTGGCTGAACAGACCATTCAAATGGATAGGGCTTATTGGTTAGCTGGTTGTTTGAAATGAACACTTTTTTTTTTTCTATGGAAAATCATGCCTTTGGAGAGCAGACTGCGGACTGGATGATGGAATCCTTAATGGAAGTAAACTGGAGGGCTAGTAATTGGTAATCATGCAGGTGATTGTGAGGAGTGGGGCCCAGAAGAGGAGCTGCACTTTGGCAGTTCCTTCATCAGCCCCTAGAGGGCAGCCCTTAAGCTGGGGTAGAAAGAGGGGTGAGGTGGAGGGAGGGGAATCAGGGAAGGACAGAGTCCTCTAGCGGGAGGAATACAGACTGACTCCCTTTCCAGAAATGTCAACAGTATGGGGTCTGAGGGTAGGGGAAGGTTCTGCAGCTGAATAACTGAGAAAAACAAACTGTATTTTTCTCCATGTTTACACTCACACTCCACTTCTGGCTTCCAAATGTATAGGGGTTATTCTGTGTGGGAATAATTCTCCAGTCTTCTGCAGATACCAACTGGATGTCCAATTCCAGGCTGCACTGATGAATATAGACCACAGACCCCACAAGACTAACCCCTACTCCAGTGCCAGTAGTTCCAGCTTGAGATCTGTATTCTGAATCAAGGGTTCCCATAACCCCCTTCTCAGGTTCAGTCATTTACTAGAAAAGCTCACAGGACTCAGGGAAACACTTACTTATGTTTACTGCTACAGATAAACAGCCAATGAAGATACATAGGGTGAGGTCTGGAAGGGTGCCGGGTACAGGAACTTCTGTCCCTGTGGAGCTGGGGTGTGTCGGCCTCCCAGCACATGGCCGAATTCTTGTTCACAAACCCAGAAGCTCTTTGAGCCCTGTCCTTTTGGGTTTTTATGAGTTTTTGATTGATTTAGATTATTGGCCGTAGTGATTAGCTCAACATTCAGCCCCTCCCTGAAGGTGAGATCTGGTGCTGAAAGTTCTAACCCTCCAATTACATAGTTGTTTCCCCTGGCAGCTAGCCTCTCTCCAAGGCTCTCCAGGAGGCCCCAGCCTAGTCATCTCATTAGCATACAAAAGATACCTTTTGTATGCTAATTATATTAAGATTATATTATAATATTTCTTATTATAAATCACAATATCTCAGAGACCAAATATGTATGTTATTGGTATGTTGGATAATCAAGTTGGGAACTGCCCTACTTGCCAACTACTGCTGTGCCCACACTCCACTGTGGTATAGACCTCTGAAGCGAGTTTGAATAGCACAGTGGTTATGACTGTTGGCTGTTTACTGTCAGATGGAACCTGATTCCTCCATTTACCTGCTGTGAGACCTTGGGCTAGTTACTAAAGCATACTGTGTCTTAATTTCCTCATCCGTAAAATAGTGATGATAAGGTAACAATAAAAAATATATATTTGTTACCTTATTGTGCTAAAAAAGATATGATAAGGGATATAGATGATTTGCCACCAAATATGTATATAACTATGCCACTGCCACAGAGTTCCTAAACTCTTGTAATTTCCTGAACGATAGAGATGCTAGGTACATTATTGTTCTAATATTTAGTCTTTGATCCTGATTCCTGACACAAAACTTCTAATCCCTTGGAATTTTCTGGGTGATAGCAGTTTCTTTTGTTCAAAAATTTTTGCTAGGGCCGGGCGCGGTGGCTCAAGCCTGTAATCCCAGCACTTTGGGAGGCCGAGGCGGGTGGATCACGAGGTCAAGAGATCGAGACCATCCTGGTCAACATGGTGAAACCCCGTCT